AGGGAAATGTAAACTCTTTCCCTCCTCCTGCACTCCAGTTCTGTTGTCAGGTAGCCACCCAAGCACTGGCATCCACTTGCTGGTACTCAGTGTGTAAACACTGTGAAACATCCTCTGACAGAGGGATCAGGCACACCATTCAACAGTTACACAGCTTCAATGTCTGCATCACAATTTTGTCTCATTCCTTTCCCAAGACATCTGAGTGTTCAGGTTTTACATGATCATAAATGCTACATTTTCCTAATGCTGCACTAAATTTTTAATACTGCAGCTGTGACAAATCAAATGAAGCAGCCTCATCTGCATGTCCAGAGCAGGATTTAATAACTAGACATCTGTGCAATCATTTTCTGTTTTCTTTACTCTAGACTGGATGGTCTGATTTGCTTACTCTCTCCAGGATGTAGAAATACACTATACTGTTAATTAAGGTTTTAAAATAAAAGCAATTAAACCTGGCACAAGGAAATGCAGCTTCATTCAGAGAATGTAATTGGAATAGAAAAGAAATTAGAGAGATGCAGCATAAAAATCAGAAATGGAACACGTGGATCTATACCTATCACTAACATTTCTCCACATATAAAAAAAATTATCACAGATTTCTAACAGGTTGCAGTCCTGGTAATAGCAAGATTAAGAAAAATAATAACTTGAAAATAATTAAATTCAAGCCTTTACTGAAATACCAAGAAGCTCTTCAGGATATCACAGCTGGAAATGTGTTTCACTACAGAAAATTGGGATAAAACTACAAAACCAGAACTTTTGGAGAAGAATACATTAGCCAGACTAAGATATTTTACAGAAAGTAAACATGAATTATTACTCAATCAGCAGGGGCCAGGAAATCTTCCTGACATGCTAGAAAAACACGCAGAAACAGCTATTCTAGGTGTATGATGAGATTTTTGTAATTAATTACTGAACACTGTCTCAGGGCTGGGGGGTGGCTGTGGCAGAGTGGAAAGCAGATTAAAAAGGGAATCCTTTATCCCTACATGGCCCTGATAATGATGGGAAATGCAGAACTTAGAGCTGCATGCATTGTTGGTTTTTATGGGGCAGCAAACCCAGATGATGCTGGGTTGTGTTGATGCTCTGAGAGCCAGGGTTGCCTAGCAAGCCGTTTGTGAAAAGGAAGGACTGGCTCCATGCCCTGCAGCTGAGGATGCTGTGCTGGGCTTTTCCGACCACAGCTGTCCTGAGCAACCCCTACCAGCACTCAGCAAGAACTGCCTGTTTGGGAACTTGAAGGAGTAAGCTGCAGAGATGCATGCTGATGGGGGATGATTCACAGATGGGTATTTCTGATTTTATTTTCCTCATCACTAAAGGGGATGATGTTCACACTTGTCTTTTGTGTCCTCCCTTGCCCTAATCTGCCTGCTTATGCTACTGGGCAGCACTCAGAAACCTCCATATGCAGAGCCCACCACATTCAGGGCTCACTGGCTACTCTGTGCTCCAGCTCTGATACTCAAGCACTAAATTAGAACTTAAGATGTGTTTCTAAACTATGTCAGTTCACAGCAACAACTGCTACATTTTATACTCCCTCTAGTAGAAGAGTTGGATATAGGCAAATCCTGCATTTTAAACACTTCTGGAGTCATATGTGAGACTCAACCTATGGAAAATATCCAAAGTTAATGCTTTGCCCAATGTTTTCTGCAGGGTAATTCTTCTCTAACTAAACCCAGAATTCTTTCCTATCTTTTCATTTATTGTGCCATGCAACAGCTGCTTTTGTAGTGAAACAATACCTTGATACAACCAAGAAAAAACCAGGAGTGCTGGAGACATTTGCTTTATTTGTTTTAGCACTGCATTTTGTGAAACTCTCAGAAAAGTTACCTTTTTCATTCTGAGATTACATAAATTATTTCTGCAAACAACTCAGGCTTGATTTATCTGCTGTGATCTAGGCCTGCTTCAAGATGTTCAAAGTGTAAGACAGAGGAAGGCAACAAAGCTGTTTTGAAGTGTGATGGACTGTTCAGATGGTGGGGAATTACAAAATACAGTAACATGAAATAAAACCAGGACTTTGCTTAGTAGGGGAATGGACATCAGTGGGACCTGCCTTTAGCATTCCAAAGGATGCATACCTGTGAATAGCAGTGAGGAACTGGTGAACAAAGCTTCTAAGGAAAAAATAAGTGTTAGGTTAAAAATTTGCTACAGCTATTGGTGATTTATCAGAGTACAGGAAACCTGTTGAATTCCCTGTCTCAGACATCAGTGTTCAGTGACTGACTAGATGTTTCTGATGGCTGAGTTAATTTTAAGAGTGCTGATAGCTCTTTTTAGGCATGCTGAGATGATCATTCAGACAAATCAAGCCTCAATCTTCTCCAAGAGAGCAAATCAGGGGTCAAGAAGGAAATCCTCCTCTTGGACTTACAGTGAATTGCTGGCTCACAACAGCTCATTTCTGTGAAACTGCAAGCACTGCCCATTGCCTGGGACAGTCTTCTGGATTAGGTAAATAATCCACTTCATTAATTTTGTGATCTGTGATGCAGCAAATTGTATATTCCTAGGTTTTGCCTTCCTATTTGGTTTTAATAAAAGTAATATCACTGTGGTACATAGAATTACAGAAGTGTCCTTTTAGATCATTGAGTTCAACTATTAATTCAACACTATCAATTTCATAACCAAACCAAACCATGTCCCTAAGTGCCACTTTTAGGTGTCTTTTCAATATCCAGGAATGGGGACTGCACCACTTCCCTGGGCAGCCTATTCCCCTGCCTGACAACCCTTCCCTGATATCCAATCTAAACCTCCTCTGGCACAGCTCGAGGCCATTTCCTCTCCTCCTAGCTCTGAGAAAAGATACCAACACCCACCTGGCTACAGCCTCCCCTCACAAAGAGCAATGAGGGCCCCAGGAGCCTCCTTTTCTTCTGACTATACACCCCCATGCCACCATGGCATTTTTTGAAAAATCCTCTTTGCCCAGGATTTTCTCCTGGGAAGCTGAGAAGCCTCAGGGAGGAAGGAAAACAATAATTATCTGATGGCTGCTCCTGTGTTTGCTGCTTTGGAATGTGGCTTGGGCATTGTTTACCAACAGGTGAATGTTTGATTGGTTCCACGTGAATTGTTTTAATTTAACGGCCAATCATGGTCCAGCTGTGCTGAGGCTCTGAGGAGTCTCAAGTTTTTATTATTATTCATTCTTGTGAAGCCTTCTGATGGATCCTTTCTCTTTCTTTAGTATAGTTTTAGTATAGCATTCTAGAATAGAATAGAATAGAATAACAGCATAGCCTATCATAATAAATCAGCCCTCTGGGAACATGGAGTCAGATTTTCATCTCTCACCTCGTCCTGGGGACCCTCACAAACACCACATCCCCATCTCCCTCAGCCTCGTGCTCCAGACCTGTCACCAGCTCTGCTGCCCTGCTCTGGGCACCTCCCAGCATCTCCATGTCCTGCTGACAGTGAGGGGTCCAAACCTATACACATTCACATCCTGCAGCTGCAGCTCATGCCTAGGAGCACCTCACTGCCTTGCTCTTTCTCTTTTTCTCTCCATGGATGAAAATATTGTCCTAATATAGCACAAGTGATGTGAGGAACACAACTTCACATTGCTATTTACCAGCCTTAGCATAGGTTATACCTAGGTACTCTTCTTCAGCCAGATAAATGAGAAACTCCTTTCAGCACAACTAGGAAACCCAAGATTTTTATCTCTTTCCCAGACATGTTAACAGACTTCCAAAGGTTTATGGGGTTTAGATGAGATTATTTGTGAGAAATAACTCCCTTGGAAAACAAAAATACTGAATGATGATTTTATTTCGTTTGTGTGTGTGTTGTATTTAAGTAATCTAAGTTTTCTAATCTGAATGCTTCATAAGAAGGAGGATTAATGCATTTTAACCCAGAAACTGAACTACTTGCATTATCATTATATGCTTATGATTAAACCAGTCTCTAGGGCCTAAGAAATAAATTGAGTGCAAAGTGAAGAAAATTAGGAAATGAATTTGCACCAGTATTTCAATTGATCTGCATATTCTAACACGGAATTTAGGCTGAGCTCCCTGGGACTCTGATCATAGTGTCTAGTTATTGAAAATGGCTTTTTCACCACTAACCACCACAAATCTGCTTGCCAGCACCTGACATGGCAAAGTTCCACTGTGTTAAACTTACCTTGGGAAAAACTCATCTTTCTTTGAAAAACAGAATTTGACTGTCTTTGGCTTCCAACCATTGGAACCTGTTTTGTCCTCAGGGTATAGGTTAGCCTGAAGCCAAAACAGGTTCCAGTGGTTGGAAGTGTTCCACTGTGGAAGCACTGAGATGCCTTGAGTCACCCTGCTGTTTCCTCTTAGCTAAACCAGAGTGATCTCCCTAAGTGTTGGAGCACCTTTTCCAGCCCCAGAACTTGTGTGGATTCTTTACTCTCCCTCATGTTTCTAAATCAGTTAGGAATGCAGACACCAGGCCTGGCCTTAGTGTCCTATCAGCATTCTCATCCCTGTGAAAGCACCTCCCAGCCTTTCCTCGAGCCTCTTTCTGCCTCTCTCACACTCATGTGTAAAAGCCTGAGCCTTTTTACAAAAGAAACTGCAGAACTAGCTCATTATGAGGCTGTTAGCACCAATGAGCCACTACCACCATTTGTGACAGCTACTTCTAAAAGAAAACCATACAGATTTCTGTTCCTCTTTCCTAAATAGGTTACTTTGCATTTGACTCCACTGAAATAACCTTTTTTTCCACTCCCCATAACAGTGCTGTGCCTTAGGAGTTATTCATGGTGAACTCAGAAAATATAATACAAGTTTTGTACCCTACTGAGGTAGCTGACATTGGGATCAAAACGAAACCTGCACAGAGCTTCCTGGCTCTGTGCAAAGCAAGCGAGGATAAATCTGGTTCTGTTCTGCTAATAAACAGATTACTCACACTTCAACACAGAAACAGAGCTTCAAAACTTTCTGAAATGGCTGCTGGGCAAAAATTACCTGAGTAAATTGCCAGTAAAGCTTCATTCTCTTGGCTTTGGCATAATTGCATTCAATGAGCCTGGGCCTGCTGCTGACATCCACCAGGCATCTGTTGTCATCGTCGTCGATGGTGGGGCTCAGAACACCCACGTGGAGCTGCTGACTGCTCGTGTAATGAACATTCTGCAACAGGAAGCACAAACAGCATTTGTGGCCTCTACACAGAAGCAGCACTTTCACCCAAAAGCTAATGGCAAAGATAAATATGCTGAATAGGCTGACCCCATGGTGGCTTTGAAAGGATCTCCTTTCATGCAGGAAGCAAGACAACATTTTAAAAGTTGGTCTAAATTAACAATTAACTGCTTAAATATTGGTTAAGTATTTAAGAGGAAATATGCAAATACAACTGATTATTGTCTCATCATGGGACTTTTTCCTTCTGTTTCTGAGGGTCTTCAAAGAGGAAGATAGAGCCCCTGGGACTGGCTTGAATATGGCCATCAGCTCTGATTAGACTGTTTCATCTGAGGATAACACCTCACTGGAGAGGGAATAAAAGAGAACAGCAGCACAGGAGTTCAGAGCATCTCCGTCTTTTATAGGACAGATACAAAGATAAATTAAGGTTTTCTGCAAACAAATGCTAAAATCCACACTTGAAGCAGATACTATATAGAAAGAAAAAGTTGTTAGCAACTGGTGACAGATACAGGCATGAGAGAGAACAGAATGGCCACATTTCAAGGCATTTGTTCTCATTTTACATTTTCTAAGTCCATACACACAGATACAAGAGACAAGGACAAGGGACAGACACTGGCTGCTCTGTATTTCTAGCAAAGAAGGGCCCTCAAAGGCCTCAGGGATTACACCTGGGACCAAAGACATGAGTTCATTATGTTATACAAATTCTTTCTACTCTGTTTGACTACAAAGATATGTGGAAGGTTTCTCTGGAAGAAAGGAAAGAAGGGGAAGGATGGAGGGGATATGTCCCCTTTCAGATTGGCAGGTTACGTGTAAGCCCAGGAAGGTAACACAGGATTATACCAGGACTGCCTGATTGCTAATCACAAATAGAATTTATTTTGCTACAATCAGACCTTTTTCTTGGAAGGACCATGAGAAAGATTAAAGGGAAACATCGTGCTCCAGGTTTTAAGTCTGTGGTAACTCAGTGGTGGCAGAGTCACAACAGACAAGAGTGGACAGAAGCACCAAATTAATGCCCCTGCCATTTACTGTAACTATTCTATTTGTCTGTAACAAAAGGGAAACTGGAAATTCTGCTGGGTGTATTTGGGAATCTTTTTGGTGCCCAGATTTTCCTGGTATTTGTTCATTGTTGGTGTTGTGAACTGTTTTATGTGTGAGTGTTCTCCTTTGTGAACACTCTGGTAAAATAAGAGAGAAAGCAGAAAAGCAGAACAAGCCAGGTCTGATGAAAGATTTCGGAGCTTCATGTAATAAATAAAATAAAATTAAAAAAAAAATGGAATGCTGTAAGTAGTCAATTCAGGGATTGAATACAACCACAACAAATGGTGGTGTTCTGGGCAAGACTGTGTGCCCAGTTTACCCTCCTGTAGCACTGCCAGGGCAGATGTAACCTGCCAGAGCTGCACTCAAGTTAATTACGTTACCATTAATGGTTTAGACTAAGCCCAGGTTTTGCCCCCTTAATGAAGTTTCATTGTTCTCACCCCACAGAAACAGTAACAAGCTTGAGCTGGCTGAAGTGAGGTGAGTGGAAGTTTTAAGAGGTTGAACAGAGAAAAGCTGAATAGTTTAGTTATGCCCTACAGGAGGAGAGCAGGGTAATAAAGGAACTGGCAGAGCACATTTCCAGAATGGATGGTTATGACTGAAGTAAACTCTAAGAACTATAACAAGATCACTCTGCATCCACAACTCAGGTTATTAACATTCCTGCAAACAAAACTGATGCCTTAGAAAACTGTTAAACATGAAGAATGCACTTTCTAGACAGGCCCAGAGCAACTATTTTAGACATGTATATGATCTAGTTAGACTTTTTTTTTTTTGGAGAAACTGAGGTAGTGACCGAGCAAGGCTAAAAGGTCAAGATGATCTTACAAAGGGATTGTTAGGACACCCTACAGATGAACCTTTTCTTGCAGCTCGTTTACCTCTTACCTGAAATTACTACTAGAAAACATAAAGGGAAATTGTTGGTTATTTAAATCTTTAACTAAGAGGAAGGGATATTCCATTTCAGCATGTTGTCACTACAGAAAAGATGATGTAAGAACATAAAGGGGGGTTGCATTGTTTTCTTAATTACACATATCAGTTGCTGGAAACAGATGAGCAGGCTTGGCTGTAACTCTGAGAAGTGCATTCTGTGGCCTGAGGTCTGCACAGAGAAGGCAGTGTGCCTGCAAACCCTCGTGGCTGAGCTGCTTTTATCAGATTACAAAATTAGAAGTACTCATTAAAGATGCCCCAAAGTTAAAAAAACAGTCAGTGTAAATTAATTACTACTGTGGATACAAACTAATTAGTTACCAGTATCTTTGAAATATATTTTTGGGAACAATTTATTGTAAAATCTTGTCATCCTTTGTCATTACCATTAATTGTTTACTGATAAAAGTAATGAGCCTGATGTTCTACAGACAAGCAGGAATAAACTATTTGCATTTCATACCATAATCATTTTGAATCTGCATTTTTATTTTGGTATCTGGACAGGTGACTGCAGAAAGGACAGAGAGAGTGTCAGACACAAAGATCACTGAAATCAAGGCTCATATTTCTAGTTGCTATCAGTGGCTTTTCCATCACACCCTAGAAGTTTTTGGATTGTCGTGCACATTTGTTACTGGGTATCTGCCTCTGCAGAGCTAGAAACTGTACCCACTGGATGGAATATGTTAATATTTATTTAGGTAATATCTCCGCTGAATTCAGTTAACCTTTACTAAATATGTCTGATCATCACACAATCCTGTCATACTTACTTTCAGGTAAACTTATTTATTTGTATGGAAGAACAGCCTTTTTTCATAACCAAGCTGACAGATTAATGTGAAACTCTAAGTAACCTACAAAAACACCCCCTCACAATCTAAAAGGCTTTTTAAAAGAAAAATAAAAGACTTTAACATAACTAGAGCTGCTCTTCAGTTTTAATATGTAAATTATCCCTTAAATCTAACTTTTGAAGTCATCATTAATTGCCTCACAGGCCTCATTTTACATTAATTGTGCCTTCATAGAACACTCTTATTGAAAACCTAATCCATGTAAAGATTCTTCACAAATTAAATGGTCATTACTTGTCTTCCTCTTTTAGCTAATTGCTTCATTATGTACTTTTTCAATTGTTTTGTTCTGCAGGGATTAATTTTGCATGTATCTTCATGAGCTGTGAAACTGTTAGAGTGTACTGTTAAACTATGCATGGTGTGCTGCTGCTTGGAACTGCAGGAACCACTCTCCACCTGTGTTACTTGGAGGTAACACATGGCAAGGGTCACTTAGGGCCCCATCCAGTTCTCTGCCAAGTGTGTCCATCTCATTGCCAGGCACAGTCAAGAACCCACACATCAATCACTGCGTTGCCAAGTTGATGTTATCAACAGGAAGTAAAAGAAATCACTTTTTCTCTTAAAAAGCACAAAAGGAGACTGAAAAACAGGATTGCCACTGGTTTAGTATTCATGGAGCAATGTACTGTGCTGGCCATCTTTTATGGCTTTACCTTTCTCTCCTTACCACAGCTACACTTAGCCTGATCAGTCTTGTTCATCTTGCACTGTGCCTAAAGCCTGATCATAGAATACAACATGCTGGGGTGGGAGGGACCCACAAGGATCATCAAAGTTCAATCACTGGCCCTGCACAGGACACCACAAGAGTCACACCACGTGTCTGAGAGCATGGCCCAAACACTTCCTCAACTCTGTCAGACTCGCTGTGGTGGCCACTTCCCTGGGGAGCCTGTTCCAGTGCCAGCCACCTCTGTTGTCACGGTTATATTTTATGAAAAATCCCTTCACCAGGATTTTCTCCTGAGAAGCTGAGAAGCCTCAGAAAAGAAATGCAAACAATAATTATCTGATTGCTTGGAATGGGGTCTGGAGGTTGCTTACCAACAAGTGCATCTTTGATTGCTGCCATGTGAATTGTTTTTAATTAATGACCAATCACAGCCAGCTGTGTCAAGACTCTAGTCAGTCATGGGTTTTTATTATTCATTCTTTGCTAGCCTTCTAATGTCTTTCTCTTTCTTTAGTATAGTTTTAATATATCATTTTCATATCATATAACATAACATCATAATATAATAAATCAACCTTCTAAAATATATAGAGTCAGATGAATGTCTCACCTCATCCTGGAAACCCTCACACCTGATGTCCCCAGACAGGGCAGGCCCTCCTGGCTGTGCCTCAGGACAGGCCTGGCCCTCCTGGCTGGGCCTCAGGACAGGCCTGGCCCTCCTGGCTGGGCCTCAGGACAGGCCTGGCTCTCCTGGCTGTGCCTCAGGACAGGCCTGGCTCTCCTGGCTGTGCCTCAGGACAGGCCTGGCTCTCCTGGCTGGGCCTCAGGACAGGCCTGGCCCTCCTGGCTGGGCCTCAGGACAGGCCTGGCCCTCCTGGCTGGGCCTGATGCCCTCAGGACAGGCCTGGCCCTCCTGGCTGTGCCTCAGGACAGGCCTGGCCCTCCTGGCTGCAGGGCACTGCTGACCCACATTCAGTTTGCCATTGGCAGGAGCCCCAGGTCCCTTTCCACAGCACAGTAGCCCAAATTCTATCAGTACTATTAAAGACTGAGGCAAGAGCTCCTGAAGAATTCCCTGTTCAGCCAGGCTGGTCTTTTGCCTCACTGCCTTGCCTTACAACATAAGGTGCTGTCACACACATAAAGGTGTCTGGCCTTCACACCTGTGACCTGAACATGCTGCATCCATCCTGGTGAACCCATCTCAGTCATCTACTCACTTCTGCACTACCACAACAACCCCTTGCTCTCCCTCACTGGTCTTCCTCTAATCTTTGTTAGATTACTAAATCAGTCTTGCAATATTAAAATATCTCAAGGAAATTAAATTCTAGAGGAAAGCCACAAATATGGAATCTTCCCAGCTTAGGCCGTGAAGACCTGGAATATAAGAAGGTACAATGGCAATTACACTATGACTTGAAAGTGCA